AGGGGCGCAGCGCCAGAAGTCGAAGCACCTGGAGGGGCGAGCCCTTGACCCAGAGGAGATGCAATCTTGCCTACTGCCATCGGGCGTCTTGTCGAAGGAGTGGACAGCAGCGTCGCCGCCACCGGTGTCTGGAGAAGAACTTCGGGAGGAGGCGGACAGTTTCGAAGACATGAAAATGCGCATATGGCAAATGAAATGAGACAGTCACTGTGCAAAACACGGTGTTCATATGCGCAACGTACGTTTACGCCAGAGAGTCATTTCCCACTGAGAAGTGATAGTCTTCTTCAGTCATCACGATTTCCTATCAGATCGAGCCGGCGCAACGTAGTGGCGCAAGCATAGGCGTTTGAGGAAGAGAGCATCGCAAAGTGCAACGCAGGCGCTAGATGCGAGGGGGATGCGCTGCACCGCGCTGTTCGGGGCGCAAGAGTTTGGACCGCGCGACGCGGGGCAGAACAGTTTGCCACCCCGACCCAGCAGTTTCGCATCAACGACAACATCTCGTCCGAGAGCTGCAGTCCGCGGGTTCCGCCGCGCGGCGGCGCCGCGCGCCGGGCGCAGCCGACGCGCTCCTGCATCAGGGACGCAGCCTGCGGGCCCCGACGATCGAGGTTCCGCGCCCAGAGCCGGCGAGAAACAGGATGGGCGAGACCCCATTAGGTCGAACTTCAGCAGCGAGGCCGCGCTGCTGAGGTCCAGTACGTGGCCCGCGCACAGGCCGGGGCCGGCGCGGGAGTTCCGATGAGAATCTGCACGGGGCTGTTGCTGCCCATCGGACAGGCGCGCCGCCGGCGGGCCAGCTGTCCGGCGAGCCGACGGCCGCGCTGGCGGCCGGCGGATCTGGCATCGCCACCGGAAGGCCAGTCAGCGGATCGGGACAGGCAGCAGCCTGGCAGACCCGGCGACATGCTCGCAGCAGCCCGCGGGCTGATGGCCTGCAGCCCAGCCCTGCGGCCCAGCTCCCCAGCCTGGCCCAGGGGCCCCGCCCAGTCCGCCAGCCCGGCGCGCCAGCCCAGCCCAGATGCCCAGCCCGGAGACTCGTCCGCCCAGCGGCCCGGCGGCCAGGGCCTCACGGAGAAGCGATCGGCGCCCGCCCGCAAGGACCTTAGAAACATTAAACAAAACATCATTTACAATCCAAACAAAAAACACTAAAACCCTGACAACCGTCGAGGTCGAAAATTAAAATCGAGCGAATGAACAATACAAGCTATCCCGCGAACCCGAATGTTTCGTATCTACAACAGAAAGAGCAACACGCAGAAATACATGGCACCACAAAAGACAGCGGAGAGCCCACGGGGAGAAGCTGTTCAAAAGCATCGAGTGCAAGCTATTCCTGGACTGCCGCAGGGCGGCCCTGGAGCTCCGCCGTCCGTTCCCGTGGTTCTGGGGTTAAGTCGGGCGTGTCCCCCCACATGGGGATTTTCGATGAAAAATGAAAAATACCCCAAAAATACCCCAAAAGGGTCAAAAAATACTCAAAGAATAGTCCCCCGACTATTTTTGGATTATTTTTTGATTATTTTGGGAGTATTTTTTTGTCGTCGAAAATCCCCCTGTAGGGGGACAGGCCCGACTTAATTCTGGGGTCTTCTCTGGCGGAGCCCGCGGCGCGACGGGGCCGGAGCTTAAACGGCCAGGCGGGGCTGGAGGCCGCGAGGGGCCGGGAGGGGGGCGAGCGAGGGCGCGGGGAGGGGAGGTGGTGGAGGGGGCGAGAAGGAAAGGGGGAGACAGGGAGGCGCGGGGGGGGGGGGCAGGAGGACTGAGGAGGAGGAGAGGAGAGGAGGAGAGGGAGGAGGAGGGAGAAGAAGAGAAGGAGGAAGACGAGGGGGCGGAAACGGAGGGGGAGGGGGCGGCGGAGGAAAGGAGGGGAGAGGATCAGGAGTTGCGACGAGGAGTAGGGAGGGAAGAGGTGCGAGTAACGGAGAGGAGAGGTGGGGCGCGCGAGGCGGGGGCGGGCGCGGCGAGGACTGGGGAACGGGAACGAGAGGAGGAGCGAAGAGGAGGAGGAGGAGGAGGAGGAGGAGGAGGAGGAGGAGAAACACGGGCGGAGTCGAGCGGAGGGAGGATGACGATCTGGAAAAAGGATGACAAGGGCAGGGGGGGAGCATGCGTAGGTCGCGGCGCTGACGCTACGAGCTGGAGATTTGCGTTTGCGGCGTTCTTGGCTTGGCGTTGTATTTCCCCGCGTTGATCGGCCTCTGCTGCATGCAGAACCAGCCGGGCGTTTCAAGTTGATTCGTTGGCGCACGGGGCGAGATTGCGCTATGATGTGCAACTTCTGTGTTAGACGCGGCCCGACGTGCCATGTCGTGCATGGCCAGTGATGGGAGGTGACGTACGTGTTAGTTGTGGGAGCTGTCTTCAGTTAATAAGTCAGAAAGTTGCTCCGAAGTCACAAACTCGTTTTTTCTCACATAGTCCGATCTCATAGTGAGCCCAAGATTCCCAGCTGTCTGGGGCAAATCGTAGACATAAGCATAGCGCGGGGCTGTCTCGCCCTGCTGCTGGATGGAGGACATGGAGGCCCCGCTCGATCGCGCAGGTGGTCGAGGCCGCCTGGCAAGAGGGGGACAGAGCGTCAAACTTGGAGAATTGATGGCCCCAAAGGGGACGTTCAAATAGGCTGCAAATTTCAAGGAGATCGAGCGGATCACGGACTCGGAGTAAGTCATGCGAGGCACGCGCGTGCTTCGGCATCGACACATGCCCAAGACGCACGTGGACCTACGGCGAAACGTCCGCGAATCCATGAAGAGAAACGAATTCTACCTGATCTAGATCGAGGGCCACACGAGTTCGGAACAGGCGACTTGCCCCGGCACCCAAGTGGCCCTTTTCTTGGGCAGCAGCCTGGCAAACGAGCTCGTGGAACATGTCACCGAGAACGTCGAGGCCCCGAAGGCCAAGGCCAAGCGGGTGCGCTGGGCAGAGGGCATCGCAGCCCTGATCCACAGTCGGGCTCTAGCAGACTTCATGGCGGCGGTGGAGGCGGAGCCGTCGCGTGAGGGACCATCGAGAAAAGCGCGGGCGGTTGGACAAATCGAGGTCAAGCGCATGCGGAGGCTGCTGTCCACGACGGGGCACGACATCATCACGGACGCGGACGGCGCGCATTTCAAGAGCAAGAAGAGTAGATCGATAGCACCGAAGTCGAAGTCGGAGGCGTAGCCAAGCAAAGCACGCCAGGTCGCAGCGCAGGCGGTGCCATCGCCTATGGGAGCCACAGCTTCGACATCAGCGCAGATCGGGCACCAGACCGCCAACGAGAGCCACAGCGTCGAGAGCACGTCATGAGGAACGCAGCCAAAGAGTGCAGCGGCAACTGCATGCCAGTTGGGAAGCAGAACTTGATCGACTACACGTAAGAGTGACCCTTCCCCAGAGTAACCTTTGGTGCGGGCCCACTGGGGCCCCCCGATCGCCGAACGCGAGGCGGCAGAGGCGTCTTGCGCGCTCGTGTTTGCCCCCCCCCGCGGCCGCCCCAAAAGCCGCGCACCAAAGGTCACTCTTACCCAGGGTCACTCTTGCGTGTAGCTGAACTTGAGCAGGATCGCGAAGAGGTTGCACCCTGGCGGCTCGAATTCGCGGTCGACCTCAGCTTGATGAAAGAGAGGGGCCGAGGGGCGTTGCCACCAAAGTCCTCGTGCTGCTCCTGCTCATCTCAGGAGGGAAAACAACACACAGACACAAATAATCGTCGATTCAACAGGAACATATGGGAAAACATCGGAAAACATGGGAAGCGGCGGGGAAGACAAAAACCTTGAAAATCTGGGAAAATGTGGGGAGCCCTGTTTATTTGTGTATATTCATGTGTGTGTCCCAGGGCCCCTTCAGTTTCTTCCTCCTCCGACATGGGCTGATGATCATGTGTGCCCACCTTCGCCACTGCCTTAGGTGGGCACCCCCCGCCACACACACACACACACACACACACACACACACACACACACACACACGCGCGCGCACACACACACACACACACACACACACACACACACACACACACACACACACGCACACGCACATGCGGCGCAAGTCGTGCTGGAGGTGTTCCGAAGAGGGTTGGTGGTCATGCGCGGTTGCCCGAATCACCGCTGCAGTTGGGGAGGAACAAAAATAGGAAGGTGCGCGCAGCGTGCAGATGGAAACAAAGACCCAACGATTCAGTCAGATGTGGGAGCAGCACGACAGCGATTGCGAACATGGAATGGGGAAAGGAGGAGATCCGCGACATGCATTACTGAAAACGAGGACCCCGACGAAATTCAGTCAGTCGGGTACTTCCTCGCTCGCAGGAGGCAGTATTAGAAGCCAATTGGAGCAATCTTGAAGGCCAAGCGGGGGGGGCGTCTCGGAGTTCATCTTGGGCGATCCTGGGAAATATGTGGGCACATTCAAGGCTCCAGTTTGGAGCCATCCTGCGCCATCTTGAGGCGAGTTCAATCTATTGGGGGAGGCAGCCCGAGGCTGACTGAGAGCCGTCGTCAAGGGAGGTGCCAGATGGGCTGTTTTGGAGTTTGGGTGGAGTTTGGGGAATCACACGGTCAGCCCAAATCTTGCCGCATTGCCAAAAGAAACACGTCAGGCTTCCACGGTGACCAACATGCAGGATACATCGGACTTGCATGGTGAGTCCCAGACACAAAGCAGAAAGGGCATCAGATGTCCAAAGTGCAGACAGCATGCTGCATACTCAAGCACGCGTGCAGTTTCATAAACTTGGCCTTGACAGCACGGTGGCCCTACCAGGAGGACAGCGGACGTTTCACTTGCTCACGGTGCCTGTCACGAATGTGTCGCACATCTGGAGCCGAAGAGACGAAGAAAGAGGAAATTGACGAGGAGGAATAGCAGTAAGAGACGAGCAAGGGATGATTGAAAGGAGAAGAGTGGTGAAAAGCATCGGCTACAGAAAGGGCTGTAGAACCGAGAGGAGTTGGAGCAGCAGAAAGCGAAGATTGGAACTGCGGTTTGAAAGATGGCCGGAGGAGTTCATGAACTCTTTACGAGTGCCATGTCTTCCAGGAGGGCCAGTTCATTGGAGGTTGCCAATTTGTTTCCACTCTTCCATATTGTCGTTACTACGTTTCACCATATGCATATATCAAGTGTTAGGTACATCGTTACCCCCTCTCGCTGTATCCCATCTTTCCGCCTTGTGTTCGCATCCGCCCGCAATTAGATCACCAGCACTGTCGAATCCTCGCTAGACCTCTCCTTTAGGCCATGCCAGAACGCAGGTTTCGAACGTCACCCTTCCATGGAACGCGAGCGGGCGAGCTTGCAGATGTCATGAGACACGCGATGCAACCGTTCGTTGCTGAGCGCGAAAACAGAGCCTGCGGCATTGACATGGGATCAAAAGTGTGACGAATGATTTATCACACGTCGGGTTAGAACAGGCAGGTGGAGGGGGAGGAGAAGGAGGCGAAGGAGGAGGAGGAGGAGGACAGGAGTTTGGCGTTCGTGGCGTTTTGGGCCTGCAGGGGACCCCCTTGGCCGCGCCTGGATCGTCGCCGAATCTTTGCCAGAACGCAATCCAGGACAGGCAAAGGGGTCGGAGGAAGGAGCCAGGCCCCCAGGCGTCGCGACGCAACAACAACAACAGCAGCAGCAACAACAACGACAACGACAACAAGCCTTCAGCAACAACAACAACCACAGCAAGAGTAACAACAACCACAATCAGCAGCAACAACGACAACAAAAAGCAGCAGCAGCAACAACAACAACCACAGCAACAACAATAACAACAGCAGCAACGAAAGCAACAACTACAGCAGCAACAACAGCAACAACAACAGCAGCAGCAACAGCAGCAGCAACAACAACAAAAAGCACTGCGCTCGGCCGTCCGGAGCCGAGGGGACAGTCCGCGGCGGGGGGCCGCCCCCGGGGTAGCCGCTCTGGTGGACGACAACGCTGGCGACGCTTCTGATCGGCCACTACAAAGGGTACGGTTACGCCGGGGTGTGGTTTGCGATCGGCACCGTTGGGGCCGGGGGGGGGCACGACGCTGTCTTCCTCGGGCCTCCTCGGGTCGCGGGAGAACTCTATCGAAGTCCCCGCGCGCCCCCAAGGGTGCCCCCCAGGATGTTCCCCAGGGTGCCGGTTGCAAACAGCACCCTTTGCAAACCACACCCTTTGGAGTCGCCGACCTGAGAACGTGATCAACATGGGGCGTTCCAAACGAGCATGTACATCGAGAGCGAGAGCAAATACGGAAGGGGTAAGGGGACTTGAAAGGAAGCGGCCACATGGCAACATACGGCGCCAAGTGGCAACAGATGCCTCAAAAACCAAAGAGGACGACGCCAAGTGCCAACAGATGCGAAGCTTGAGGGACCTAGGTGCTCGGCGCGAAGCGCCAACGCAGTCTTGTGTGTGTATGTATCAAGCATAAAGAGCCGTGCCTTCGAGGATCGACGGAGTTGTCATCTCTTCCTCGGCGGAAGGTCGACGGGAGTAAAACGAGGCCCCGCCGGCGGAAGCCGGAGGAAGGTTGGCGGAATGCGGCAGAAGTAAAAAAAACGCGTTTCCAAGAGATGACAACATTTTGAGATTCAGGATTTCCGGAGTCGGCCATGTGAGATTTTACGCGACTTCATAACCCAGACCCCCTGGCGTTGTGAAACAAATTGCGACGGGAGGCTTTTCGTTATTTTCGGCCTCTGGGGGCCCTTACCAGGCCTCGAGGACCGTCAAAAAACGATTCAGGATGAAAAACCGGCCCCAGGGAATAGGTCGAGACTTTTGAAGCTCGGCGCCATGAAAGAATTATGATGTCGGGGGTCTGGGAACGTCACTAACAGGCCAGAGCCATCGCGCTTCATGCCCCCGGAAAGAACAAAGAAAAGGCCCCCGGGGACCACAAGGACGTTCCAAGGCCCACGTCATGAAAAAAATGTTCTTTCTTTTTGGTACGCGGGTCAAGAGCGCACCTCTTCCGGTCGAAGCTAAGCGGGCCGCGCGGAGTTTGAATTAACAGAGGGGGGACAGAAGGAGCGCGGCCTCACGGCAAGGCCGGGAGGTAAAGCCTCGGGATCAGGCGGTGCCGAAAACGACGTGCTTGCAAAGGAACGCCTTGTACAGGAGCCCGGTGGCGAAGTACCGGCAGAAACAAAAAAAACATGAAAAACACGGCGCCTGAGCTCTGGGAGGGAGGGCGGGGGGGGGGGGGCAAGGGGCGGGGAGGGGGCGCGGGGCCCACGCCAGCACGCTTGCTCGAGAGGTCGTCGCAGAACGAGGGTGGGGCAGATGGTAGACGCTATCGAAGGCCCTTCCAAGCACAGGGAGGGGCGCTGGGAGAAGCTCGTACGACACTTTGGAAAGATGAGAACTGCCAAATGCCCGCTGCGCCCGTAGAGCTGACAGGGCAGTTCGACGAAGTAGAATGCCAAGAGCACGATTGCACGAGCCCCTCAGCTCAGGGCTTTCATGTGTTGGAGGCAGCACAGGTGCGCGAGATTGGTGAAGTGCTTCTGGGAGGTTCAGGGCTCGGCGGCGAAATCCGAAACCGACCGTCGCCGATCAACGATTCAGGCAAGTCGATGGGTGGCGGGGGTGGGGCTCGGTACTCGTCACACACGTGGCGATATCCGAGCCCCACCCCCACCCCCCATCGATTCAGAAGAACCGATGGTTGGTGGGGGTAATTAGGGCCTGGATGTCGCCATCTGAAGGTACAAGCTCGTCGTAAGATCGGCCACCTGAGTTTGAAACATCCTCCGAGGCTCCGGCACGTTGTGGGTGCACCCCTCGGGCGGCCCCTGGGCGGCCTTTCGGGCGTCCCTTGAGGGGGCCCTGGTCGGCCCTCGGGGCCAGAGTATTTGGGCCCTCGATTCTGGATCGTGGATCCTCCTCCTCCTCCTCCTCCTCCTCCTCCTCCTCCTCCTCGTCCTCCTCCTCGTCCTCCTCCTCGCGCATGCTGGAGACATGCAGTCGCCAGTTAACATCCGTGTCCGGTGATGGCTGCATGAGCCTTTGGATTCAGTGTGGCAGTCCAGTTCAAGGCTCTCGCCGTGCTATGGCGCGGCAGTCAGTCAGTCAGTCAGTCAGTCAGTCAGCCAGCCAGTCATTCAGTCAGTCAGTCAGTCAGTCAGTCCTCTCGCACAAACAACACACACACACACGGCGGGCGGCATAGCGGCTTCGTACCCGTTCAAGGCGCGTCGCGCAAGAGCCACAGCCGAGCGGGGTTTGTCTACAGCGAGCCTTGGCGTTTACACCAAGCTCTTAGACACGCCACCTTTTGCTCGATCCTCCTCCTCCCTCCTCCTCCCTCCTTCCCCCTGTTTCTCCTCCTCTTCCTCTTCTTTTTCTCATCACCCCCCCTTTGTATGCGATGTACCGCGGGTGGGCACACACACACACCAGAAAAACGTTCTCGTTGTTGGAGTAGATATGTCTCCTCAGCCTGAGAGCAGGAGACTCGCAACAGAGTGCGAGGCCCGCTCGCCGCTCGCAGCCCCCTGGGACGGCGAGGGAGGTGCGAGTCAAGATAAGGAGGCAGGCTGGAGGCAGGGGGGGGAAGGCGGCAGGAGGGGACGGGAAGGAGCAGGATGAGTGCGCAGCACTGTCCTATTAGTAAGAACGAGAAACCAGCCCAACTATGATCGCGTCTTCAGAAAATTACACGGGAGGTTGTTGGCCATTTTCGCCAGGCCCCTGGACCGCCAAGGAACGATTCGGGATGAAAAACCGGCCCCGGGAAAAGGGTCAGGACTTCCAGGAAGAAGGAGGAGGACGACGAGGAGGGGCGGAGGAGAAGGAGTAGGATCTCGTGTGAAGAGAAGCCAGGACGTCGCAGGTCTGGGAACGCGAAAGGGGTGGTATAACAGCTCTGGAAATCCCGCTCCCCGTTCCTCCTTCCTCCGCTCCGCCGGCCGCGCGAAGAGCCCACCGCATTCCCTTCCCTCTTCACCAGCACCTCATCCTCCTCCTCCTCCTCCTCCTCCTCCTCCTCCTCCTCCTCCTCCTCCTTTTCCACCTCCTTCACTTCCTCCTCCTCCTCTTCCTCTTTCTCCTCCTCCTCCTCCTCATCCTCCTCCCCCCTCCTTCCTTCCTCCTCCTCCTCTTCCTCTTTCTCCTCCTCCTCCTCCTCCTCCTCTTCTTCTTCTTCCTCCTCCTCCTCCTCCTCCTCCTCCCTCCTCCTCCTCCTCCTCCTCCTCCTCCTCCTCCTCCTCCTCCTCCGTCTCCTCCTCCTCATCCTCCTTCTCCTCCTCCCCCTCCTCCTCCTCCTCCTCCTCGTTCTCGGTCGCCGTGTTGGCTCAAGATGTTATCGCTCCTCAGGGGAACACGTGAATGCCGCTAGGCCGCGGCAGACAAGGCTGTTCAGCCTGGCTTGTCTTGCACCGCTCCCCCTCTCAGTGTGTCAGCTATTCATATGGCCGGTGGCGGGATCAGCGGACGGAAAAAGAAAAAGGGCGGCGAAAAGGGCGCGCGGGCTGGTGGGTCTTTCTCGTGCTGCTCACGTTGCTCGCGATAGAGGCGAACCAAGTCCTGGCAGCAGACATGGGGACCGTCGTCGCAGTGGGCGCGATTCGGATTTCAAGGGGATGGACGACCACGGCTGGGACGGATATCGACGGACTCATCGAGGCAGCCCCCACCGAGAAGTTCACGTCGTGCAGGGAGGAGCTCAACGCCATGGTGGTCAAGACCTCCAGGGAGTCTGCGGCCGCGGCTGTGGCTCCACTTTAGCAGGCGTTCAAAGAAGTGGAAGCCGCGTCACGGAACATGCCCGTGCAGTGCGAAGCGGCGGCTGAGAAGAAATTCAGGGCTCAGCTTGATGATCTTGAAAGGCGATTCCAACGGCAGTTGGACACGCAATCTTCGCGGATCAACGGCGTTGACGGACGCACGATTCGGCTCTCGACCGCCCTGGACGAGATGCGTCGGGAGACGGATGAGATGCGACAAAAACTTGCGATGGCCAATCGCGCACCGCCCCCGCCCAAACCGAGTTTTGCTGACTTCCAGAGACAGGTGGATGGCAC